CGGCGCCGGCCTGGGCTGCAGCGCCGCGGGCTCACAAGCTGCGTGGTGGGACCGCCCCGTTCCCCAGCCCTCGGAGGAATCCCTTCATCGCGCCCTGCCCGGCTCTGGCTCACGCTGCTGCTGTCCCCTCCCTCCCCGCCTGCTCCGCTCTCCTCCCCCTGGGTCTGCCCCACGCTTCCAAGGCTCAGCAACTTTCTGCCTGCAAGACGGAGCGATTGAGAAATCTCCCCCAGCTGACCCGTGAGCTCGCAGGGCTGCTGAACACTTAGCTGCCCGCTGGGAGTCCTCGCCCGGCGCACACACGCCAATAGACACACAATCGCTCCCAGGCTCCACCCAGACACACAACCCCTGACCTACACACCCTCACAGCACTCTGCCCCCGGATACACAGCACGCACAAGACTTTCAATTAAACCCACACAATCGCACACGCCCCAGACAGTTCAAACACATACGCTGAGGTATGCAAACAGCTACAAAGACGTACCTCACAAAAATTCTCAACCCACACACCTCCTGTCCAAATGGGTATGGTTTTATAACTTGCCATGGCTTGGCCGAATTCACTTTTTATTTTTTTGTAAATTCAGTGGCTAATGTCAATGTTTATTCCTAAACATTTTATATTTTTATCAACTTTAATTTTTAGAGTTGTGAGAAATTGTCAGCTAAGAAGGAGCCTAGTCATTAGTTAGTGATGGCATATGCTGAGATTCAACAAGTAAAAGTTTCATAACCATTTAAACACAAATTGTCAATATTAAATGTAAAAATATACAGTTACAATACAAATATACAGTATCCTTAAATCAAACTAATACATTTTCAAAACAAGTTTTTCTTATTTGGTCTGTCTATAAATGTTTATTTTCAATAGAAGTATTTTTCATCAGTTGTGTACACACTGTGAAATCAACATTTTACTAATACAAATTCAATTCTTTTAATGCCTGCCCTCCATTTGCTTACATTAATGTCTTGTAGTGCATTTCTGGAAACATAAAGAACAATTCAGATCTATAGAATCGCTCGCCTGTCTACTGTTAACTCCAAGTGGAAGGATTATTTAAATATAATTCCCTGAATTTCCTCGCTACCTTCTACAGTTTCAGAAGCAGGTTCAAAAAAACATATTTTCTATCCATTTGTAGCAGTTAGAAAACATTTCAGTTCTAGAGGCCGACTGTGGGTTTATTAAGGCGTTTCAGTTGCTGTTTTGATTTACTACTTTCTTTTTCATGGATTATAACCCAGTTCTGTAATATTAAAGGAAAATTCCAGTAATTAGCTATACTAGTTTAGGCTTGAATTCTAAAAGCTTTTCCACTACCTGTCTGGCTGGATTGAGACAGAGTTTGAGCCTAAGAGACACGAAGTGCACACATCTCCATTCCTAAATCTAATATTTACATATGTAAACATTTACATATGTAAATATTATAGTGTTCAGAGTTATTTTTGAAAAAATGGTCAATTGTGTTGTCATAACTAGGAAAGATTATGAAACTGGATTTATTCTAACTATTTGTTATCTATGTTCAAACCTTCTGTTAGGAATTGTTGACACACAAACGTGCCACTTTCACTATACCAATATATATACAGCAGTACAAACCCCTTAAGGTGGACACAGTTGTACCAGGATAAATGTACAGCTTCTTCTCACATGGGAAGGGGAATAAGCAGTCTTATCAACCCTGAAGTTACAAAACCATAAGTCAGACCCCACAACAATCATGCTGGGTTGGGTTTGCTTATTGTTTTAAAGATTATAATCTGTATTTGGCCTGCCTTGATTTTTGTACTTCTTCCACCAGTGCCCAGTCTGTGTGTGTGGGAGACACAATTAGACTGCCAACACTCCTAAATTTATGTGATACACTAAAAAAACAACAAATAGTCTGGTAGCACTTTAAAGACTAACAAAACATGTAGATGGTATCATGAGCTTTCATGGGCACAGCCCACTTCCTCAGATGACCAGAGTGTTAGATGTCCAGAACTAAAATAAATAGGGGAGAAGGAAAAAAACGGGAGGGGGGGGAAACAAGAAGAGGTAGTGAGTATAAATATCCCCCTGATATTTTTATAACCACTACCTCTTCTTGTTCCCCCCTCTCTAATTTTTTTCCTCCTTCCCCCTTCTTTTCCCCCATTTATTTTAGTTCTAGTCATCCAACACTTTGGTCATCTGAAGAAGTCGGCTGTGCCCATGAAAGCTCATGATACCATCTCATGTTTTGTTAGTCTTTAAAATGCTACCAGACTATTCGTTATTTTTAAAGTTCATCCTGTACAGACTAACTCTGCTACCCCCTAAAACTTTTAAATTTATGCAGTAATTTTGGCCCCCACTACAGGAACTTTTGCCCTCACATCCACCTTAACCCTCTGCTAAACAAACAATCAGGAGCGGCCCTAGACAAGCTGCCGGCAACTGGCGCCCTGGGCGAAACATGCGATCGGCGCGCCCGCCTCCAAAGCCCTCAACGGCCGTTTAACTTGGCGCCCTCGGTGACCACCTAGTTTGCCTGTATTGATGGGCCGCCACTGCAAACAATCAGTGCTATATCACAACACCCTACCCCCTTCCTGATCATTTCTGCCCATTCCCTCACCCCTGCTCCTCTTCCACCTTCACTTTTGCAACCCTTCCCTAACAGAGATCCCCTTCAAACCATCACTTGATATACAGGCATATACAGGGATATACTTACGTCGGATCCACACTTATGAACGGGGCTTTTCTCGCCCCGGAACTCGCGGGTGGCGGGACCACTCAGACGCGCAGTGGTCCCGCCACTGCATCCTCCGGGGTGAGAAAAGCTGCTCTGGGTGGCCCTGGTCTGCTGGGGGGGGGGGTCCCCAGCAGACCAGGGACACCCCGAGCAAAGCCTTGGAGGTGGCGGGGTCCCGCGCCTCCAAGGCTTTGCTCCGGGTGTCCCTGGTCTGCTTGGGGTGTCCCTGGTCTGCTCGGGGTGTCTGTAGAAACCCGCCATCTCCAAGGCTTTGTTCGGGGTGTCCCTGGTCCGCTGGGGACCTCCGCAGCAGACCAGGGACACCCGGAGCAGCTTTTCTCACCCCGGAGGACGCAGTGGCAGGGCCCCCGGGCGTCCGGGGGGGG